TCCCCACACGTACATCCGCACCATCATGCATAATGTTTCCACCCAATATGCCACGGATGGAACTAAAACCGGGAATGATTCAACTTCTTCCCACTTTTCATGGACTTGACAGTGAAAACCCATACGTGCATATTAGGGAATTTGAGGAGGTAGTTGCAACCTTCCACAATCAACATGGTACAACGGATGCAGCCAGGTTAAAATTTTTCTCGTTTTCACTTAAAGAGAAAGCAAAAACCTGGCTATATTTGTTGAGACCACGTTCAATTGGTACATGGGCTGAAATGACGCAAGCATTTTTTAATAAATACTTTCCCCACCATAAGACTAGCGCCCTTAAGAAGCAAATCTCATCTTTTACCCAAAAGGATAGTGAGACCCTATATCAGGCCTGGGAGAGATTTAAAGAACTACAAGCCCTTTGTCCTCACCATGGTTATGAGAGCTGGCGTATAGTTAGTTACTTTTATGAGGGATTAACACCTAGGGAACGTCAATTCGTAGAGATGATGTGTAACGGTGATTTCCTGCAAAAGGATCCGGATGAGGCCATAGAGTATCTAGACGATCTTGCTGAGAAAGCTCATACTTGGACAGGACCTAGCCCTACTGACAGTACCAATAGGTCACGACCCCCAAGAAACCCCACTAGTACAGGTATCTATCAACTTAGGAAAGAAGATAGTCTTAAGGCCAAAGTGGAAGCCCTTACTAAGGAATTTGAGACCTTGCGTGCTAAAGGCTCTAAACCTGCACAAACTGTTTCGCGTGTTGAATCTTTGGGACCTTGTTTTGTGTGCGGTGGAGTAGATCACTTAGCCCAAGAGTGCACCACTTTATTTGAGATGAGAGGGGTTTATGAGGAACATTGTAATGCCTTAGGCACATATAGGAAGCCCTATTCTCCTTTCTCCGAATCCTATAACCCAGGGTGGCACAATCATCCCAATCTCAGCTGGAAATCTGAAAACCAACAAACTACCCAATCAAATAGAACTTACAGTGCACCATCATATCAACCCACACCCTCTAGGAACTCTTTAGAAGATACCTTACATGCATTCATAGAGGCACAAGGCAAGGCCAATCAGAAGTTTGAGACTATGATTAACCAGGTAGTGGAGGAAAATAAGGAGATAAAAAATCATGTGTCTAAATTGACCGATGCCTTAACTGTGGGGGAACGTGGGAAATTTCCAGCACAAGCTCAATCTAATCCTAAGGGACAGCATATGGCTCAAACCTCAGATTCAGGAGAGAGTAACCTTAAAGAAGCAAATGTCATCACCACCCGATCTGGGAAGGTTATAGAACCAATTTCAAAACTTAGGGAAAATGAAAAGGAGTCTAGTGAGTCTGAAGAAAGTAGCCCTAGTGATGAGGCAGTAGGAAATCCATCGAGGGTACCTTTTCCACAAGCCTTTAAGCTTAGCCCAAAATCAGTCAATCAACACAATGAGATCCTAGAACACCTTAGGCAAGTACAAATCAATCTTCCACTCTTGCATGTAATTTCACAAGTTCCTACATATGCGAAAGTCCTTAAGGACTTGTGCACTGTGAAGAGGAAACACATTGTCAAGAAGACTGCCTTCTTGACCGAACAAGTGAGTGCTGTGATTGAACAAAGGATCCCACCGAAATATAAGGACCCTGGTTGTCCAATTGTTTCCTGTGTCATCGGGAACCATGAGTTTGCAGAAGCTCTCCTTGATCTGGGAGCCAGTGTTAATCTCATGCCCCATTCCATATACTTACTATTAGGTCTTGGTGAAATTAAACCCACTTCTGTGGCTCTACAACTAGCTGATAGATCCACTATAAGACCTAGGGGAGTAGTTGAAGATGTGTTGGTTCAAATTGATAAATTCTACTACCCCGTTGATTTCTTAGTCTTGGATGTGAAGGTTGATGTTAATGTTGATTCTAAAATTCCTATTATTCTTGGTAGACTTTCCTCGCCACAGCTAACGCCCTTATAAATTGCAGGAATGGTCTAATGAAATTGTCTTTTGGGAATATGACTCTAGAAGTCAACATTTTTCACATTGCTAAGCAACCAATGGAAAGTGATGAGTGCCACCACAAACACATGATTGAGGCACTCACTCAGGAGGAGGCACTTGAAACTACAAATTCTGACCCCTTAAATCTTTTTCTTTTGAATTCTGCAATTCCAGCAAGTGTTAATGATGAAGAATATGCTAACAT